TGGTGCTGAGGAGTTTGTGCTGAAATTATATTCTTCCCAGCAATTAGTAAGATCACTTCATATCATCAGCAGTTCTGGAACCCCCCCCCCTCTCTCTCTCTTGCTCTTGCTCTTGCTTTCTCGCTCTCTTCCTGTCTCTCTCTCTCTTTCTCATGCATATGTGTATGTGGGTGCCAGCAGAGGATATTGGATATCCTCCTCAATCACTCTCTGCCTTGTCCTTTGACATGGGGTTTCTCACTGAACCAGTGCTTTTCTGCCCCCATAGCTGTGGGGTTACAGGTGTGTATATGCATAGCCTATTTTTACTTGAATGCTTGGATCCAAACTCAGGTCCTCATGTTTGCACAACAAGCACTCCTATGCACCGAGCCATCTCTCTAGTCCATTCAAGAAATTTTCTATAATTTCTCAACAGATCAATTGTCTGTATCTCAGCATCCTTTATGGTTGTCATTGCTTAAAAATATTTTATATTTCTTTAAACTAACACCTACATAGCACCTACTATGTGTCAGAGTCTACTAGGTATTTTTTATGAGTATTAACTAATTTAATATGTATAATGACACAATAAAGTGGACACTGTTATCATTCTGAATTTACAGATGACGAAACTATTATGTGATTGAAGGTCATGCATCTGACAAATGGAGAGCCAGTATTTGAGTCTTCCTGATGATTCCAGAGTCCGCTCTCCTGACCACCACGATCTGCTTCCTCTTGGAGGAAAAGCTTAGCTGGCAAGGAAACAAGTCAGGACACCAGGGACAGACAGTCAAATCCTAGCTATCAGACCTAGTATATTTTCAACTTGACTCATTTTAAAATAATCACTTTGGGTTTTTTTAGGGTGTATCAAGGTCAGAAGAAATCAAAAGAAGCTTTGTCCTACTATAAAAAGGCTTTGGAATACACCGAGATCATCAGAGGTGAAAAAAGTCTTGAGTGTGTACCAGTACTCAGGGAGTTAGCAGGTGTAGAACAAGACCTGAGATTCCATGATGCTGCCATCAATCACTTCATACAGGTAAAGTGTAAGTAACATATTGGACACTATAGCTGTGATAGACCCAATGCTCTTCATAAACAGAAGAGCCACAGCAGCTCCGAAAATATCTGACCTGGTCATTTGCTGAAGACAATTAAGAAAGACACTTAGCCAGAATAGATATTCAGCAAAGATTTTCTTATTGGATAGCCAAGTAGTTGAGTGCTGGATACTAGTCCCTGCTACCAATGGTACATTCCACAAACAGCCCAGGACTCTCTTCCTGTATACATGTATCACTTAAGCGTTATTTCTGGATGAAGTTGTTCCATCCCTTAGTATTTGTTTATTTAGAGCTTACTCTACTAAACTCACTAGAACATTTTAAAAAGATTTTATTATTTTTAATTATGTGCATGTATATGTGTATCTCTATGTGGATATGTGCACATGTGTGCCAGTGTCCAAGGAGGCCAGAAGAGGGTGTTGGAAACCTTAGAACTGGAGTTACAGGCAGTTGTTAACCTAGAGCTGGAGTTATAGGCAGTTGTGAGTTGTCTGATGTGGGTGCTAGGAATCAAACTCAGATCTTCAGCAAGAGAAGAGACATCTTTCCAGTCCCCTGACTAGGCTTTTAATTATAGTCATATATCTTTAACTGAACTGGCTTAAAGGTGCACCTGTCAGTTACTATTCTACTTTGTTATTATGAGAGTCCTCAGTGTGTGTGTCATTCTGAGTTCTGCAGAAAAAAGTAACCAATAGAACATGGAGGGGGAGGGAGGGATTGATGGGGGCAGGAGTAAATATGAATTGGTTTTGTTTTTTAAGGAATTGGCTCATGTGCTTTGGGCACTAGCAAGCCTGACATCCCAGGATAGTCCAGAAAGCTGGAAACATGGGCAGAATTTCTCTGCTCCCTTCTTTTGGGAAATTGTAGTATGTTTGCTCTTTAGTGCAACTGATTAGCTGAGGTCCACTCATGATTCACAGGAATTTCTTTTATTTAAGCCAATTGGTAAGAAATAGTAATGGCATCTACAAAACACAGTCTTACAACATCTAGACTGGTGTTTGACCAAAGAACTAGGCCACCAGAGTCTCAGCAAGTTGACACCTGAAACTAACCATCACAGTAAGTTTGCTATCTTTGTTTCATATCATCTGCCAAAAGCACTTTTTACATTTCTCCTAGAATTTAAAATATAGACTAACCTATTCCTGGTTTTTCAAATGAGATAATAATGACATGGTACTAAGAATACATTATAACTATGTCTTTTAAAATTTGTCTGACAATTTATACTCCCACTCACAGTGTGTTGGAGTGCCCCAATCTCTCACTTTATCTAGATCATCTCTTTTAATCATTATTGCCACTATGTAACATATTATTTCCAGCTTATAGATAAGGAAGACAAAAATTAGAAAGGTTGAGTGATATGCCCAGAAATACATATCCCGAAAGTGGCATTGCTCAGATTCAAGACTAATAGTTTTTCAACACGATTCTCCAGCTGATATGTAGAAGGGGACTGAGGAGACTACTGAAATAGGCAGAAGGTGACGGTGCCTGCAAGCAGGATGAAGACACTAGGAATGAGGATAGAGGAATTGGAGACAAATTTGGGAGGTATATAGGCCATGGAAATCAGATATGGTGAGGTAGGAGGAGAATCACAGCTGACTCAGATTTCTGGGAGTCTAAACCACTGGGGAAAGCTGATACTATATTCACAGTGGAGGGACAGGGTGAGCAGGTGGTAGAGGTGAGCTCCATACTGGATGGTCTGTCTATTGACAGCCAGGTAGTTAGAGAACTGGTCATGGAGTTCACGGACACATCCACTTAGAGAAAAGATGGATTACCTCAGTGGAGGAAGGAGTTAGAAAGGAAAGAGGGAGAAGAGAAAATTTTTGAAGGATGATAGAATCTTTAGGGAGTTTGGCATTCATTGATCAAATGATAAGAATAAAGAATTTACCAGATGGCATGTGAGAAAGGAAAAGAATTTACCAAAGAAAGATTCAAGAGATGTCTGTCAGGCCTTTATTGTAGAAATGTGGATTTGTCAGTAAGATAAGTGAGTTAGTTTTTGTAAAATGGTTAGCACAGTGCCTGAGGCATAGTGAGGCATATGGAATTTAAGTATTTCTCTTTCCTTTTCTGTTTTCTTTTTTTTTCCTTTTTTTCTTTCATTGATAATTGGGGCAATGACAAGGACAGAAAGCAGATTGTAGAGTGCAAGAATTGAAGAACCTCAAAGATAACTATTATAGTTAGCAGTTTCAAAAAGTGCTAAGGGCTGTGGAAGACTAGTCCAACAAGGTCTTCATAGGAAGATCTGAACGTGAAATGAAATTTGGCCACTGAGTATGATGCCCAGGGCCGTAAGAATGATGAAAATAGTCAAATGGGTATCATGCAGATAAAACATTAAATGTTCTGTTAAGGAATCTCAGCTTCCTCCTGATGACAGATGAAAGTTTTCAAGGATGAATGCTGACATCGGATTGTCAGTCCAAAAGGATTGCTGTGTGGACTGGAGAGTGGACTAGACCATAGACAAATATGCAGAGAACTAACCCAAAGATGACTGTGGCAGTCTAGGTAGGGGGTGAAGATGGCTTGGATTCAGAAGGGCACTGAGAATGGACAGATGTGGACAGATTTGAGAGTTGTGAGGAGTAGGAAAGATAGGCCAGGTGGCAGGTGCAGATGAGGGCATGCAGGAGAGGTGGCAGAGTCGGATTTCGCCAGGTGTCTGCCTTAGTTCACTGTGTGGTGCATGGCACCATTTCCTGAATGTCGGGATGCTAGCAAGTTTGTAGGGTTTTTTTTGTTGTTGTTGTTGTTAATATCAATAATTATAAATTTTCTTTTTTAAAAATTTCATATTTATATCTATATGCTTAGCTGAGTTTATATGAACTACATGTGTGTAGGTGCCTGAGGAGTGCAGAGAACATAGGTCAGATCCCTAGAGCTGGTGTTGTAGGCAGTTGTGAACCAACTGACGTGGGTACTAGGAATTGAACCCAGGTCCTCTGTAAGAGCAGCATGTGCTCTAAAACCATGGAGGCATCTCCCCAGCCACAATAATTCTGAACATTAAAAAAAATTTTAATTAATTGTATTTATTTGTATTTTTATGCATATGAGTGTTCTGTCTGCATATATGTAAGTATACTAGGTGTGTGCAGTGCCTACAAAGGCCAAAAAAGGGTATCAGATCCCCTGGAACAGGAGTTTGGGGGCATTGTTAGCCACAGTGTGGGTTCTGGGAACTGAACCTGGGTCCTTTGCAAGACTAGCCAGTTATTTTAAGCACTGAGCCATTTTTCCAACCACCAAACATTTACCAGAGTCACAGAAAGGTAGGAGTTTTTATCTCCTTCTGTTTTGTTTTTGGCAGTGCTAAGGATTGAACCAGGGGCTTGGCCATGCCAGAGAAGTGCTCTGTCACTGAGCTATACTTCTGTGGCATATTCTTGCACCAAAATAAAATTGCTGCAGTTAATTTCTAGAAGTTAAACTGCTAAAAGGAAGGATATGAATATTTTACAATATTTGATTCATGTTTGCATCCTGCCCCAGAGTTGTTTTGATTTATCTAGCCATTAGAGTGGCCTTTTTGTATAAGTGATGCCCCTACATTGATACATCATTTTCCCCCAGTTTGATAGCTTCTGTCAGGGTTCAGTCTTGTTGGTTCTCCTTCTGTATGATAAATGTGCAATGACATGTATCCACCACTATAAGTACATACGGAATAGTTTAACCCCGCTCCCCACCCCACCCCCCACCACCCTGCTCTGCTAATTCATCCTTCCCTCCCTGAACTGCTGGCAACCACTGACTGTTATAGTTTTGCCTCTTCCAGAATGTCATGTTGTTAGAATCATATAATATGTATTTAGACTGACTTATTTCACTTAGTAACACGGATTTATGTTTCTTCTGTGTTTTCATGACTCAGAAACCTTTTTTTCTTTTAGCACTGAATAGTATTTAGTTTACCCATTCCCCTACAAAATGTGAATTCCAAATTTTGTCAATTCTGAATGATGTTGCTATAAAATCCATGTACAGGATGTTGTGAAGACACGCATTTTCCACGCTCTTGGCTAACTGTTGTATCATATGGCAAGAACTGTTGGGTAAGAAGCTGCTAAACTCTTCCAAAGCAGCTGCAGGGTTTTATATTCCCACCAGCAGTGACTGAGAATCTGTGTTGCTCTGAGTCTTTACCAGCATTTGGAATTGTCACTGTTCTAGATTTTCCCCACTCTAATGGGTACATAGTGATGACTCATTATTTTAATTTGTGTTTTGTTTTGTTTTGCTGAGACAGAGTCTCCCTATAGCTCCAGCTGGCCTGGAACTCACTTTATAAACCAGGCTGGTGCCTCCTGAGTTCTGGGTTTAGAGGCGTGTACCACCACACCTGGCTTATGTATTATTTTTATGTGTATGAATGTGTTGTCTGCTTGTGTATAAGTGCACCCCTGTCATTCAGTGCCCTCGGAGGTCAGCTTGATCTCACAGAGATCTGCCTGCCTCTGCCTCCCAAGTGCTGGGTTTAAAGGTATGCATCACCATGCCCAGTAATTTGCACTTTCTTTGCTTAAATTTTTATTTTATGTACATGAGTGTTTTGCCTTCGTGTAAGTACACCTGTGTGTGCAGTGCCCATGCTGGCTACAGATGGTTGTTAGCTACCATGTGGGTGTTGGGAACCAAACCCAGGTCCTCTGAAGAGCAGCCAGTGTTCTTAACCACTGAGCCATCTCCCAGCTCCTGCATTTTCTTGATATGATTTGCCATCTGTACGTCTTTTTACAATTTTTTATTTAGTATTTTATGTTTATGAGTATATTACCTATATATGTGTAAGTGCACCCATATCATGCAATTCTCATGGAGGCCAGAAGAGGGCATCGGATTCCCTGAAACTGGAGTTCCAGACAGTTGATAGCCTCCATGTGGGTGCTGGGAATTGAACCTGGGTCCTCTACGAGAGCAGCCAGTGCTCTTA